ACACCGTTTAACAGTTTTCAAAAGATGATCAATATCCTAAGGAAACGTTATTTACATTAGTCTACCAACGTAGGTAAAAGTTTTCGTTAGAATATGAAATGAGAAGTGAACGTCGCGTCGGTTTTGCGACATTTTAGTCATCAGGTACAGGTCGCGACTTGTCGCGGCACTTAATTCTAGCGCTGAACAAAACGTGGAGGGGATAGCGCCGCATGGGTACACTGCCGGATTTAGGGGAGGGCAACCGGGGCGAAAGCCTAGCGGTGGGCGTTTAAACGAAAAGCGCTTAATAAGCGCGCTTAAAATATTAAGCTTGTAAGCACGCTTTTAAGTATAAGCGTTATAAGCTTTTCACTTAAAAAGTGTGAGTAAGCTTTTCACTTAAAAAAGTGCAAGTATATTTTTTACTTAAAAAGTGTAAATCCCGCCATCTATGTCTTTGCCAGGAAACTACATACTTCGATCCTTCTAGTCCACTACAGTATCGAAAAATGGGTACGCGGAATTCCTTGGAACTAAATATTTCACAATATCACAGACATAGAACGCGCGACTACAGCGCTGCGTCGGCGTGCCATCTTTCGTGAGCCGGTTAATACAGCATGCGAATTATTATAATGCGACGTAAAAAAATGCACTTTTTTAAAATTTGGTCGGTTAACCAACGCTTTTTTCGTTAAAAGCGTTTAATTAAACGAAGTCGAAAAGCAGTACGCTTGTCACTGTGACGGGGTAAGAGCGCGTGGGTGTTGTACGGTGTGTTTGCATGCTTGCTTGTGTTAATGCGTTTCGTGTTTTGGTTTAATGTGCATATAAAATAGTTAAAAGTATGTATATAAAATCAATGAACTTTTAAGTACGCCTGGATCACGAGTATATTAACTCCAGACAGTCCTAAGCTTGTAAAGTTCGAAGGAAAGTTCATTAACTATTATAAAAATGTTTATTATAAAGTCTAAATACAATTGAAAATCTTTCGTTTTTAATGCCAATCAATTCATTAGGTTTAAAAAAACTTTTTAATAAAAATTTCATTAATAAGAAGAAAACACGCAATAAAACACTTAAACACATTAAAAACGACAATAAACTTTTCACGCTTTTTTAAACGATATACCTAAACGAAAACACAACACAACGTCGCGCTTTTTACGCATGCTTTTAAACGTTTAAGCCAATAAGCGTTTAAACGAAAAAGCTTTTTTTCAAGCGCGCTTATTTAAAAAAGTACAACGTTTAAACGCTTTTAAGAAATAAGCCGTTTTTTCCATCTCTACGAAAGCCCCGGGGCCTCCACAAACGGGGGCCCCAACAATAGAGACTTCGGAAAAAAAATCTTTCAAATTCCAACTAGTAAACATCTTTTCCTTTGATATTTTTTGAAGTTATACTTCTTTAGCGACCAACTTCATGCGTTACTTTTGTGTTTACCGCACATTAAGAAAATCTACCAACAAAATAGAAATAGAATCTCTATTTAATGGGTGCTAACGACTGCATTGTGAAGGCCTATCAAAAGTATTTATTAATCTGGAACAACGGAACCAAAGCGCGATTCAGGAGACTACAGCGGCATCTCTTGACCATTGGTGTAGTAGAACCAAAAATCACATCTTTATTTTTTGTAATAAAGTAACAGTTATAGGTATTCATATTTATAATATTTATCCACATGTTTCTAGTTTGTATATTCGGAATACGTGTTTGAGTTTCATACAAGTGCAAATCACATATGTTCTAATAAATTATATTCAGTAGCGATTTTAATTGAATATTTTGATTATTTATTTATTTTTTCAAATTAAAACTGAACTTTATTGACTGTGTCCTTTTCCAGACTTTTTATTAATTTATTGTAATTAATTATTTGCATGCAATTAAAAACTAATTTTAAACGATGCCAAAGAAGGATAACTTCTCACGCGCCTACATAAGTACACGCACCCATTTTTTTTTGCTCTTTTACCTTTACCTACAGCCTACAGTACTTTGTACATCTAACATACATGATTATTTGATAATATTAATCTCAGTGCCGAATTAAAGGCAGGGCAGAAGTAACAAAATTTCGATGGGTCAACAAGCATGCAAATCCTAAGTGGTCCGGGGCCTCCACAATCCTAAATCCGGCCCTGCATGGGTACGAAAAAACAACCGATTTAAAACGTTTTAAACAAAATGTTGCCGTTTTAAACCCCAAATAAATCGTTTTAAACGGTTGAAAACTGGCATACAAAAATAAAAGAACTATGTTTTTTACACTTCATTGTGGTATTTTTTTTTTAAATTTGATTGTACTAGTTCTTTATTTACAGTCATCTTAAATAACAAACCCCTATGATAAAGATACAAAAACTACATGCGAACGTACCTACAATCAGGGGGTCACTTTTAAAAGCACATTTTGACATACACAACAAGATACATAGAGATGTTAACTGTTAAAATGGGCTTGTGAACTGACTGTACATGATGTAGTTATTGTCAGCAGACTCCATCCATGCCCCAACCTACCCCCTGTTGTAATCGCGCCTGAACTTCTCTTCTCAGTGCGTGCGCGGCGGCGCCGGCGCGGCGCAGCGTCAGTGTGACCAGATTCAGTATTTTAATACTTTTTCAGTATATTTCATCGATTTTTCCGAACTTCAGTATATTTTCAGGCATATTGCTGGCAGTCAGTATTTTTGGGTATATTTTGGTAAAAGTTACGGCAACACCGTAGTGAGTGATCGTCTTTGCGACAATGTTTGCGGAATTCCCCGGAACGCGAACATTGGGGACTGCCCCGGATTTAGTTTACCTATACTTATACATGTATAAGTATAGGTAAACTAAATCATAATAACATGTTATCTATGAGTAAGTTAGGCCGTATACAGAAAGAAAGCTGAAAGCTGATCGGCGCCGATCAGCGCTGGTCAGCTGGTCATTATGATCTATGTTGTCCGAATAATAAATAATTTGTATTTGAATTATTATCCTCACATTAAATCAATCTAAGTTATAATCTTTTTATAAATCTAATAACTTTATCTTTTATTAAAATTATTTGTTTCATACTTACCCAATGGTGACAACAAGTCTTTCTTCTGGAAGGATTGGTTGTTTATGCCAATTGCACCAATTTTTCATCAAACGGTTTTTCACTAAATCCAAAATGTAATAAAATGTTTCTTGAGTCATTCTTGTATATGTATAAAATCTTTGATCATCAAATTTAATTTTTTTTACAAATAAATGATGGTATTCTTAAAAACGTTTCCTTTCTCTATTTATAGGATGTATAGCTTTTTTCGCATTTTTAAATACACATTTTCTAACAAAACCAAATCATCTTCCGATGAGTCCGACATTTTGCTTGATCTGCTTTAATCGGCTTCCTTTATGTAGTAAGGATCGGCGCCGATAAGCGCCGATCGGCTTTCGGCTTTCTTTCTGTATACGGCCTTACAGATATGACAAGAAAGACGGCCGTTGTCGGAGTTGTAGTATTGTAATACTACATATTTTATACAATTATCAATCAATACATAGTATTAATCAGACTTGCAGAATGTATGTTCGCCTAAAACTTTACAACTGCTGGACCGATTTTAATGGGGTTTGCACTATTAGATAGAGCGTGAAGAAATGAAGGAGGTTGTGTCAATTTTAATCCTTCGAAAAGGATGTTAAAATATAACTCTAACATTTATTGTGAGTACGTATGAATAAATAAAATGTGTTAAGAAAATCAGTATTTTTATTGGTATATCTGTCCTATGTAAGTCGGTATATTTCAGTAATTTTTTGAGGTGTCTCGGTATTTTCGTAAAATTTTATTCTGGTCACACTGCGCAGCGTAGCGGCTGCGCGTAGTGTATATATTCTGTGGCGGCTGGTAGTTTATGTTGTGCATATGTGTTTAGGGTACGATTATCTATCTACGATTTATCGGTACCGTTCGGACGGTACAGTCTAATCGAAACGATTTCTCGTAGTGTGTATGGCTACCATTATAGTCCCGCCGCTCAGAGAATGCGTTTCTGACAGGTCGTGTCAGTTCCTTATGGTGATAGCATTAGAGTTAATTTTCGAACCACTTTTTTATTAGATCTAAAGTGTACTTTATTCTGTCGCCATAAGGACTGACACGACAGAAACGCATTCTCGAGCGGGCTGAATTAAACAACAGGCAAATTATGAATGAGTAATTTTCTGAAGGTCTGAATTGTATTTTTTTCTTTAATGTCATTAATTTTATTTACATAATCCTTAATTAACACATTGAAATACTTATCTAAAAACAATCTTATACAATCCTTACATATTATTAACATATGTAATCTTCTGTAGTTACATTTGAACATAACCCAGCCTTAACATTATTTACAGACATTTTTATGGAATTATCTATATTATCTTTAAAAACTTTATTAATAATATCTGATATTCTTTTATGTAGGTATTAATTCAACTTTTTCTTTAATTTTCTTTGAAGATTTTTTTTATTTATTAGCGTAGGTAGGTAACAACGCCGAACTCGATGTGGGGTACGGGTGCGGCCAGAGTGCACTCAGATTCAGATTCAGATTCAGATTCTGAAAACAAGCGCGAGAAATAAACTGTGTAGTCTAAGCAGGTTGCCTGCTTATTCTCGCGCTTTGTTTTCTGAGTCTGAATCTGAATCTGAATCAGGAGTGCACTCTGGCCGTACCCTTCGACTCCACTGTTTATTTCTCGCGCTTGTTTTCAGAATCTGAATCTGAATCTGAGTGCACTCTGGCCGCACTCTTAAGCCTCAATGATACGGGGCGAGTTTACAAGCCAGCTAGCAGCTTGTTTGTAAACTCGCCCCGTGTTATCGAGGCTTTAGTCAGGGTAAAGGTCCCTTAAAATTGGGTAGTGTATATCCCGCATTAACACGTAAATGAAGGTTATATTCTCTTTGGCCAACACGAATTGCCAAGTGAAGTGCCGGCATAAGAAATTACATAATTTGTATTTTGTTGATTGGTTTCAATTTCATCATTCATCAATCTTTTTTGGTTTATCTAAACATAGCTTTTACTAGAAAGAAGAAGTAATAAATCAGATACTTACCAAACAACTAGCAGACATTAGGAAAATTTTAATTATGATAAAGTATGTAAATGACGCTGTATAATTTTATGGTATTTTTGCAAATTTATCGGTATTCTTAAGTATGTAACAATTTTAGATTTGGTGTAAAGTCAGCTGTTTTGGGCGCTGCAGTTTACTACACAATAGATAAAGGGGTATGGAGAGATAGCTCGGTTACAAGTGCGATTTACGATGATCTTGAACAAGGTGCTTCACCATACGTAGGTGAACTGAAAAAGCAAATTCCATACGAGGTAATATTTGTCACCTTAGAGTAAATATAAAAATATTTTTGATTTAATCTAAGTATGTCACATTATGGCGGTAAGTGTCGATCCTTACAATCTATTTAGATTCCATATTTCCTTTTCAGTTGCCACCTCTTCCATCAAACGATAGAGTTTCTTACCTGTTCAAGTACTACTGGAATAGTGGTGTGAAAGCAACCTTTAGATTTCTGGTTGATTTACCGACACATGCTTCCAACACTGCAGATAGTGCTTTAAGTCTTATATCCTCCGCAATAAATACTGGTGAAACAAATCCAAGCTCTAGTCAAGAAAAGGTTAAATGAGTTAGTATAATTGTATAAATATTATTTTTTTCTAGGAAACAATGTATTTTGAAGTGATAATAATAAATATGTATTGGTGACCCATGAAAACTATTATTTTGTTGGCCATGAAAAACTATGTTAAAGATTATTTTACAATTATTTAAGTTTTATGAATGTTGCAGTAAAACCTGAATAGACTTCCTCAATCAATATCTACATAGTGACAACATATTTGGAAAAGCTGCTCTGCCGCTTCTGCATTTAATAACCATGCAGTACTTCCTAAAATTTTTATGTCTGTTAAACCCTTATTTCAATTTTACATTCACATGTTGAAATTTGGTTAGAAACTCCAAAAAATTGGTGAAAGCTTATCATATTTTAATTTTAGCATTTAACTGCTAGATGTTTAAACTTAAACGAAAATTTTACTAGAAAAAATTTGATGCAGTCCAGTCAGCAGACATGATTAAAACCTGCACCCTCTATTACATGGGCTGATACAGTGACCAATTATGCTACCCTGACCGTAATGGTTGTGTCGAATTCCTTCTAGTATATCTTGGCTGCATATGAATGCTGTTTAGCGGCAATAATTTGGTTGTTAGTTCAGCTCTTATTAACCAGACAACTGCTGCTATAGGAATAGGGATTAGATGATTGTTTTGTATTTCTGTACATAGTCAAAATGAAACATCAATAATAAAAAATTTCCTTTTAGTCAACTTGGTACCTACTTTACTTAGAAATGGTTAGCTATAGCAGTAGAAATTCAGTAAATAAATAGAATTTAACTGCTACTACTACTTATATCGACATATTTTAAGGGGCATAGTATATAAACAGGTTGAAAACTTTTACTAATAAATGGTCAGTTAATATATAATACTAGATATATAAGAAGGTAGGGCATTTTCTGCTCGAATTGGAGCGCCTGTCCGGGGAAGTAACCAAAGAGTAAAGTAAGTATACCAAAGGGGTACTACTTTATTTAAACAATAATGAGGTTATTGCTAACTCTATGAATATTTTTTTCAACACAACTTAGCGCACTTTGCTGGTGCATTTGAAAACTAATTCACGTTCCAATTAAGCATCAACATAATTCGGCATTGTGCGCCACTGAGTCGCATTAGGCTCAACTCACACCAAAAGAGCGTCGAAGCGGAGCGCAGATTCAGTGTCATATGAATTTTAACTTTATTTTCATTACTATAATACTTATTATCGCATGAGAAACTCGAACGACTCCCGCGGCGCCGCGGGAATTCCGACGAATTCCATAAGCGCGCCTTCTCTACCGAGCGGGTCGCTGCGCTTCGCTGCCCTTCGCCGCTCTTTCGGTGTGAGTTGACCCTTATGCTCTGTAATTGGAAAGCTACCACTGTATACGACACGTATATATTTAATATTACTTACGTGTCGTGTTGTTTCCGGTTTAAAATAAGGTACGCTGTGGTGTCCTTTCGACAATGTTTTCAAAAAACTAAAGTTCACGTGAACAAAGTCGCGGGTGGCCGCTAGTTAATGGTTGTACGTTTTTTTGAGATCAACATGAGCGAGCTCTCAGTTTAAAGCGAGTATATTATAAATATGTATGCGAAATGAACTCGTCTTTCTGCCTGTTACATTTTCATGCCTAAACCACTGAACCGATTTAGATGTAATTTGTTGTTTCATAAAATATATATATCTTTTTTATTTGGACCAGGTTTTTGGCTAACCCTAAAAGAGGCTTAACATAGAACTATATATTTTATCTTTCGTGTTGTGTTGTGACGCGACCGGTTTCGTAATCCAAAAAAAAAGAAGATTAAAATAACTTAAGGCTTGGCTGTATGGGCATTGTTCTCTTTGCCTTTCCCGAAAAGGAAGAATCTGAAATAATAAAAAAAAGTTTTTTTTTGGCGGGATTTCATCGAGTGCGGTTGGCGTCTTATTTTAATTATTCTTAAATTCGTTCATGGTGGATATTGTGAAATAAAATTGGTGTGATTTTGTGTTACAACTGTCTGCGTAACTGAAGAATTAGTAGAATCGTCAAAATATACTTTTCCGGTCAAGTGGACGTGAGAATTTTATTGTAGTATTGACTACCTCACAGAAGCTTATCGAAAAAGCCAGCTCGATACATTTCGTGCCAAACACTTCAAGAAACATTAGAATGCATCACACCGACATTTTAATGTAAAAAGAAAAACAGAATAATTTAACTTAAGACTAGGCTGTATGGGCATTGTTCCCCTTGCCTTCCCTAAAAGGGAGAACTTAACAAAAAAAAATTTTACAAGTTACTTTTCTGTTTTTGGCAATGTTTTGGTTGAATTGTGAATACTTGGGAGGTGATTATCTTGCTCAGTGATTGGAATCATGTTGGAATGGAATCTACTTTGATTACTGACATACAAGTGCATTTATCAGTGATTACCAGTGGTGATTACTTGCTCAGTGCAGTGCATTTACAGTAATAAAAACAAGCGGAAAAAGTATCTTTTTGTTACCACTAAACAGCAAAGAGGTATTCTCGAAAATGGATTTGGTTCAGGAAGTTTTGAACTGCATTGATGGATGTCTACTCCCAAAACTTAGTCGTAACTTGGAGGAATGTGATAATCATCCAGAGTTTCAACTATGGGAAAAGAATTTGGCGTTATATCATAGCAAACTGAATGATTACTTGAATGACTTGGATTTTTGTAAATACTCTGATAACTCGGCTGTAATATCCTCATTGTTGATCTTGTATCATGAATTGGGTAGTGATGGTGTATGGCAATCTGAAAAAGCTAAGCACTGTTGTAAAGTAACTAAAATTCAGTTTGAGACTATGTATAACATGTCACTTGAGAAATTGCTCACTTACGAAAACAACAATATTTGTAATACTCAAGAAGTGTTTGACAAAATTATGGAGTTAATACATAAACAGTTGACACATAATGATTTCAAAAAATATCCTGCTCTAATTGCAGTATACCATAACATTATTTTAAATCTAAAGGTAGGTAAAAACATTTACAATCAAACATTTTAATACCAATATTTGGTCTATTCCATTATGATTGCCTGGGTCATCATAGGCCACTCTTTAGTGTCCTTTGGTCAACCAGGTGATTTTAGTGGATAGTACCCAATATTTGTATTATGTCTTATGTTCAGACTATGATTTATTGATTTAGAGCCCTTCTATGTACAGAAAAGTTTGTTGTTTTAATCAATCTGAATGGATGTGATGACTGGTAGCTTAAAGTTTTACTCTTACACATGAATCATTTAGTTGTTGTGGTTAATAAATTTACTTGTTTGTGAAAGACCAACACGAAGAAGAAATAGGTAGAAAATTAATTTTAATAGGCGATGTTGACAAATTAATTGTAGAATTCTTACTTCTTTGTCGTACACTATTGTTCACTTGTGTTCCCTCCTTTCTACAATCCGGGGTCCTTAAAGAGAGGAGTGAAGGAGCATTGTTGCAGACCGACAACGTGAGGATGGTTGGTGTAGCAATATATAACTGCTGTACCAGCCTTCTTAGCGTTTGGACTTTATCACCATTTAACATCAGGTGTGGTAGAGTCATTTGCCAACCTGGCTATATAAAAAAAAAAGAAATTAGCTCAATAATAATTAAAGTATAAGTTACAACAAGTATTAGTTTGAGCAAAATAATAGTTGTAGTATTTTGACAAACTGAATATTCCTTTCACAGGAGTATGAAGTAATCCACAAGCCAACCTCCTTGTTGCCTTTATCACTACTTTTGATTGATGATTTTATAAATGAAAATAAAATTAAAGGCTTACAATGCTGTTCGTCAATATTGTCAAATCTGGTATGTATTTTTAATATTAAGTATGTACCTAGAACATTATATTCTTGATTAAAATGAAGGACAACATGGTTACAAAAACATTCTATTCTGTTGAATTTTAAAATGTTTACCACTGGAAGTGGACATTCAAGATTAAACATTTAAAAGGAGAATATCAAATCTTTTGACGTGACAACGTCTTAAATTAGGTTGCGGCTGGGAGTCACTTATGAAAAAGTGTAACGCTCGGTAACGTTACGATGAGTCTCTCGTGTTAAGTTTAAGTTTACATGTACAATGTTTTAGTAAACAAAATATATTTCTATAGTTAAAATTTGTGCAATTCTTATTTTCATTCAATTCCTTGTTCCTATTGTGCAATTTAATTATATTCATATCAATAAATATTCTACCGAGAAAAAGACGTTGTCACGTAAAATCTTCGCCCGTAAAACCGACTTTACAGGCAACCATTTTTTTTTAATAATATTAAATAATTTTCTTTCAGACCCAAGATAATTTTCATGGGGGAAATTATTACGAAGTAATTTATGGTGTATTAAAGAAAAACATCACAGAGAAGGATTTAGATGTAGTGACATTAGTATTGGACTGTTTATTAAATCTCTTTAAAATTATGCCATCAGGCGTAAAGGTTTGTTGAACATTATTATAGTATAGTTTTATTCACTGTTTGAAATAAATATATCATAACTATGAAAGGAAGGTTTGAAGTCGTAGGCACAAACTGATTCTGACTTTCAGCACCATGGAAATCTTTTTTCATATATTTTCAGGTTACCACAATGGACAATACATTTGATCTTATACTTGGACAACTATATACTGAAACAAATTTATATAAAAAGAAATCATTATTTTGCTTTGTCAATAAATTAATACCATTGCATGGTGTTCACTGTGTAAAGAGAAGAATGTTTTTGATAGTCATATGTGACAACTTAGATATTTGTAGCAATGTTTCTGTTGCTGAAATATTGTTAAGAGAAGTTGTTGAGGTAAGATGTAATTTTTATTCCTAGATTTGCCTTAGTTAATAGGACGAATGGGGGAGGATGCTTCATAAGGAATGATAAGGACAGACTGATGTCAAGTTTACAAATAGCAAACACGAATATCCAAGTGCAGTGCCAGCATAGGAAAACTACACTCAACTTACAACTCTAGTTGATGCATGGCACTGAGTCAGATTTTAGGTTTATTCATTATAAAGAAAATATGAATAGAAAAAATACTGCTTGGACCAGGCAGCAGACGGGACTTTTTTTATTTTTATTGGACAAGCCAACATTTATGTCATGTCTCTAGCAGATATGATATCTTAAATAATGCTCTGCATTATTAAATACGCAAAAAAAAGTCTCGAGGTGGTGGCATACTGTGAAAATTAATTTTATTGTTTCAGTCGCTTGAAAACTGGACCAGATATAATTGGTGTATTTGGAGATTACAATCAAATTTTAAAATACTATTGGTGCTAATAAAAATTCTGTATGTACACTGTGAAGATGAGAAAATATCTACGAGACTGCAAAATATTCTTATGACACTCATTAAACTGCGCTCTGTTGAAGAACAAAAACAAATTTTTAATAATTTAAAAAGTAAAATGCATGTTAAGGTATTCAAAGAATGTTTTGTTAAGAAATTAGCCATGATAATGAACAACTTAAATGACAATATAGAAATCAATTAATGTTGATATAATTTATGAATATATCTAAGGACAATGAAGTACTGACTAAGGGGTCATCCATAAATTACGTCACACGAATTTCATGATTTTTTGTCCTGGTCACATTTGTGAGACTCCCCCACTCCCTAGTGTGACATCACATATTTTGCAAATTTAAATTTAGAAATTATTGAATGAAAACAGCGGTTCTGAAATCAGATTTATTTCAATTTAAATTGTTTTTTAATACTATTAACATCAAATCAAAGACAAAACAAAGAACGATTAATTAAAGAAATTATCAAACAAAAAACCGATTGACTTTATTAATTAAAGATACAAATTTAACAGTCTTGAGTCCATAGGCATTGAACCCACTCCTTTAAATTATTTATAAATGGCATAGCACCATTTTGTTCTTAAAGTAATAGTATAAACGTTAATCTTTTTGTAAAGTAATAGTTTCAACACTTAGATTATAATAGATTTTGAAATGTGACATCACGAAATTTAGGACCCCTCCCACCCCCTTGTCACACGATGGCACACTTCGTCGACCTCCTCCCTCCCCCTTAACATGTGACGTAATTTATGAATGGCCCCTAAAATAAAACATGATTATTATAAGAAGTTTTTATTTCATTGATTTGATAGAGAAAATAAATATGTATTCTATTCATATCTTTCAATATAATAAAACTTATATGATCTTTTTACATTTATACATATTAAACTAAAAAAATGCAAACAAATATTCTTTAATAATCCATGTTTTCTCTTGTATAGTGTTTTGGTAGATGCGAAATAATATCATATTCATCCTCCAGGTTTTGTTCAACATTCAATCTTTTCCAGAACACTGGACATTCCATATTCTCACAGTTTCTTCCATGAGGGTGTCCAGTGCAAGAGCGGCATAACTGAAAATTAATAAATAATTAGACAATTTTTTATTTGGTAAATTTTTTATTTAATTTATTAAGTTTGGTTATACTTAGAAATTTCAGTGAACTAAAGTCGATGGTATTTTATATGAAAAGCGCGGCAAAAATATTATGGCCCAAGTAGTGGTAAGAGGCCACCATTATGATAGTCATAGTACGTGCGACTGACTAGCTTGGCTTGATGTTACTCTAAAAATCGAAAGCTGATAAGTTGAATCGAATGCAATGATTACTTGTGAAGAAATATCACCATAAACAAAAGTATAATACAGCAACAGCGCACGGCTTTGTAAAACGGCGCTCAACTATCACAAATCTCATTTTGTTTACATCAGACTTATTTCAGGCTATTGATTGTAATAAAGAAATAGATGCTGTTTACACTGACTTCCGTAAGGCCTTCGACAGAGTTGACCATAAACTCCTTTTAGAAAAAATTGCATATAACGGTATAAGGGGAAACTTATGGAGATGGTTTAAATCATATATATTCAATAGATGCCAAAAAGTCGTTATAAAAGGATACGAATCTCAGACCACCTACGTTAGTTCCGGTGTACCACAGGGAACAATTCTTGGCTCACTGCTATTTATTATTTTTATAAATGACATCAAGAAATGTTTTGAGCATTGTAAAAAGACAAATTGTCGATATTATAAAAATCAGTTAAAATTAACATTCTTAAATGACATTGGTGTTGATTCTGGCATGGTTCCTTAATCCTAAACTTGAACTTGACGTCGATGTATCCCTATCATTCCGTATACGGAATTCGGGGAGGGACTGGTGTTATGGTCTAAGAGCTGGCTACGAAAAAGTGAACTGATAAGGTGTAGTAACGAATTATATATATAACCTCTCCTTGGTAGCTTATATATTTTTTTTTTGAGTACGAATAATTTTTTTTGAAGTTTGTCGTCTAAGTCAGCGATTACTCGGCATCACAGTTTCTATATTTTTTTTATCGCCCTCGCTTATGAAATCAGAAATCAATATATCTTTATTCAAATTGGATGTATAGTCAACTCTTTTGAATCGTCCAAAAATTTTTTTCCCTACCACTCGTTATGGACATATTTTTTAGCTGCGGAGAAAAACGGGCGAAAAAAACTCCACAACATTAAAAGTCTAATGTAACAACATTTACAATTCATTATGTTGTTACAACGTCAATACAATTATGATTTATTTAATATAGAAAACCTGTTGGAATGATTGGAACAGTTCAAACCCAAGCATTTTTGTCTGTAATATAATCAGACACTTTGTAATAAGCTTTTTTAATAAGTGTTTTTTTTATAATATCTTTAAATTTATTTATGGCTAACTCTTGGATATTGCTTGGGACTTTATTGTATAAGCGAACACAAAGACCTTTAAATGAATTATTAATTTTGTGAAGCCTAGTAGCAGGTAAAGTTAGTTTATTTTTGTTTCTTGTATTAATTGTGTGAACATCACTGTTTTTAAGAAACAAATTAATATTTTTTCTTACAAGTAATAAATTTTCGTATATGAATTGTGATGCGACCGTCATTATTCCAAATTCTTTAAACTTATCTCTTAATGATTCTTTAACTTTAAGATTATAAATTGATCGAATAGCTCTCTTCTGCAGCACAAAAATAGTTTGAATGTCGGCGGCATTTCCCCACAATAAAATTCCGTACGACATTACACTATGGAAATAACTAAAGTACACTAATCTGGCCGTATCTACATCCGTTAACTGGCGTATCTTCATTACGGCATATGCTGCAGAGCTAAGTCTATTTGACAATTTATCAATATGTGGGCCCCATTGAAGCTTAGAATCTAAAGTTATCCCTAAGAATACTGTGGTGTCTACAAGGCCCACATTCCTATTCTTTACATTCACACTGGTTTTTACCTGTTTTACATTAGGTAATACAAATTTCATACATTTCGTTTTTCCTTCATTAAGTAATAAATTGTTAACATTGAACCAGTGGACTACCTTAGAGATACAATTGTTCACGTCGTCAATAACTTTTTCATTGCGTTTGAGTTTAAATAAAAGTGATGTATCATCCGCAAACAATACTATCTCATGGTTATCTCTTACATAGTAAGGTAAGTCATTAATATAAATTAAAAATAAGAAAGGACCTAGGATTGAGCCCTGCGGAACACCCATCTTAACCGGCGAACCCGGAGACTTATTACCATTAATGTCACTTAACCTTCTGTCATTGCATATTTATTGAAATAACAGTGTAAATAATAAAAACTATAAATAGCCAAAACTGAATCTTGTTATTTAATTTTGAAACGTTCCTTTTCATCGCGATAGCCGCTTCAGCAACTTCTGGCCATATCATCAATTTTTCTGTACTTAGCCATTATTTAGCCTTCTGACAATATATGTGCAGGTTCGGTAAGCTATAAATAATATAAAAATTCGATTGTCAGAACTGCACCTTGTTATTTTAACTCAAAACTAGATTCGAAACGTTGCTTTCCGTCGCGATAGCTGCTTCAGCAACTTCTGACTATATCATAATTTTTTATGTACTTAGCCATTATTAAGACTTCTGACAATTTATATACAGGTTCGATAAGCAACAAATAATATAAAAATGCATTTGTCAGAACTACACCGTGTGGTTTAAATTTAAACAATTTATTTACAACTTTGTCGACTTCTGACAGTCTTTAAGCCCCGACTTAGACTTCTGACAATAATTTTCCTAGATTCCTACAGTTAAAAACTATAACTCTACCAAATTTCAGAACTGCACCTTATCATTTTATTCTTATTGAAAATTTACGATTTTGACCGCCCACCCACGCCTTCCGCCCCTGGAGAGAGTTCTGACGGGCCTCGCTCTATACTTATAAGCTACCAAGGAGAGGTTATATATATAATTCGTTACTACACCTTATCAGTTCACTTTTTCGTAGCCAGCTCTCCGGCTATTAGATTTGGTTTTAGGATTGGAGAATCGTGCCGGAATCGACACCACTGATACAATACAATACAATAAAGTATTGCTTAAAATCAGCCTCTAACAACTCCAAATATATAAGTATATCTTAATCTTAAGAGTAAAAGTACTCATTCTTGTTTCCTATTATATTTATATAATTTAAAATATATACTAATATGCTAAAACCGTTAACAATTCCATTTTAATAATTTTAACAAACTAAAAATACCAAAAATATGTAAAAAGAAAAATCATTGATGTTAGGTACAATTTAGGTGGGATGTTGCTGGCAACACCAGTGCCCGTCGATGACGCCATTTCATCTCGCCATTACATGACGCAGTATTACATGAGAAAACAAAGAAAATAATTTTACAAGATTTTGAACGAGATGTGAGAATAGACAATATTATTGAAAATGAATTAATGATATCTCTTGTGTGCTGACAACAGTGATGAAGATGACAATACTAATAACATTTCTGATAGTTCAACTGAATAAATGCATTTTTGACGTGACAACGTCTTAAATTAGGTTGCGGCTGGGAGTCACTTATAAAAATGGTTGCCTGTAAAGTCGGTTTTACGGGCGAAGATTTTACGTGACAACGTCTTTTTCTCGGTAGAATATTTATTGATATGAATATAATTAAATTGCACAATAGGAACAAGGAATTGAATGAAAATAAGAATTGCACAAATTTTAACTATAGAAATATATTTTGTTTACTAAAACATTGTACATGTAAACTTAAACTTAACACGAGAGACTCATCGTAACGTTACCGAGCGTTACACTTTTTCATAAGTGACTCCCAGCCGCAACCTTATTTAAGACGTTGTCACGTCAAAAGTGTAACGCTCGGTAACGTTACGATGAGTCTCTCGTGTTAAGTTTAAGTTTACATGTACAATGTTTTAGTAAACAAAATATATTTCTATAGTTAAAATTTGTGCAATTCTTATTTTCATTCAATTCCTTGTTCCTATTGTGCAATTTAATTATATTCATATCAATAAATATTCTACCGAGAAAAAGACGTTGTCACGTAAAATCTTCGCCCGTAAAACCGACTTTACAGGCAACCATTTTTTATTTTGACGTGACAACGTCTTAAATTAGGTTGCGGCTGGGAGTCACTTATGAAAAAGTGTAACGCTCGGTAACGTTACGATGAGTCTCTCGTGTTAAGTTTAAGTTTACATGTACAATGTTTTAGTAAACAAAATATATTTCTGTAGTTAAAATTTGTGCAATTCTTATTTTCATTCAATTCCTTGTTCCTATTGTGCAATTTAATTATATTCATATCAATAAATATTCTACCGAGAAAAAGACGTTGTCACGTAAAATCTTCGCCCGTAAAACCGACTTTACAGGCAACCATTTTTTTTAAATTATGTCTATATTAATAATACTTGTCTTATTTTGCTCCTTACATTTACGAAAGAAAAATAATAATGGGACAGGGATTCGCCTGATGATTTTTAAAATTCACATAATATGTTTCATGCCTGCCTGTAATACAGCGACACTCACCGCGTGCAGTGCGGCGCGGGCGGGCAGCTGGCGGGCGGGCAGCGCGGCCGCGGCGGGGGTGGAGGCGGCACATCGGCCGCACAGGGTCCGGGTGCAGGCCGCGCCGCAGCGTGCGCACCGCACGCGCCGCATGTATCGCGCAATGCCGCCCTGCGCCACCGTACGACCCTGGCCCACTTCCCGCCACCTGAGTGGAACGGAAATATCGGCTCTTAAATAAAGCTTTAAGTCGGGTATCCTACGACAATTTTCTAACAAAATATGTTATCAAAACAAGTTTTTTATTAATCACCGTTAGTAAAACTGTAAGGCCACGCATTAGCGGTTGGCAAACAGGAAAGCACGGAAAGAAACTACAAGCGTCTCTTTCATATTAGGAACCCCGAAAAAAAAACGGTTCGCATGATAACACAGAAATATCAGAAGCACGCTGCCGATGCTGTTAAAACCTTTTTACCCCTACTTTATAAAAACTTAAGCCCAATTTCTTTGATGAAATCTTAACAAGGAAGCACAATAATCGTACACGGATTGAATGCTACTTAAATCGCAAAGTAATATGTCAAACTCTATTTTAAATTGTAAGGAATTAATAAAACCAAGAAAGTATTATTTGGCTAGCATTCATATCTCCTGAATGTGAAGAATATGAGTACTGGGCAGTAACTAAAAGGCGGAGGGCTCACCACTTGAACACGTCGACGCCCAGCAGGGACAGGCAGCGGTCCAGCGGCGGCAGCACGGCGCGCGTCACGTAGTACGCCACATGGGGCGGCGCGGGCCGGCGCGCCAACTCCGCGGGGTAGCGCGCCAGGCGGTCCAGTGCGGCGCCCGGGGCTCCGGGGCAGCAACTAGAGGGCGGAGGGCTCACCACTTGAACACGTCGACGCCCAGCAGGGACAGGCAGCGGTGCAGCGGCGGCAGCACGGCGCGCGTCACGTAGTACGCCACGTGGGGCGGCGCGGGCCGGCGCGCCAGCTCCACGGGGGAGCGCGCCAGGCGGCCCAGTGCGGCGCCCGGGGCTCCGCCGGCCACCACCCACGGCACTCGCTGCCCCGCGCGCGGCCGGGCGCGCCGGTCCCGAGCTCCAATGCGCCTACGATACGAGCGACACATTAACGCCGAACTGCCTAGTCGTTTTATTTTAGAAATTGAATTTATTAAGTAGGCACATCCACATCACAAGTTTACATTCCAACACAGACTCCTTAGATACTACGTACATTGCACTGTATGAGATGCGCTCGTGCATTGGCGGTAAATGCCTATGCACATCTATCAGTTCATAGTGACAGCTTGTGCTGCCGAAAGCTAGAACAACAGGGACGTCGCTTAAGGCCAAAACACTCATAAGGCGGGTGTCTCCGACCCGCGCCGTGTGTGTTGTTGTTTATATAAGGCCAAAAGAATAGACCCGCCGTACTCCCGTCCCAAACCGTACCCGCCTTATATGTGATTTGCGCTTTATCGATTGAAGTTGGGTTATTTCATCTAAGCTAAATGAAATCCTAAAACCAACTACAACGCTACCTACGGAGCCTTATTGTGAATCTAAAACCACGCAAGGGAGCACTCAGTAGTAGCGCATGACACATGCAAAGCGCGGGCGAAACGCTGTGATATGTTAAAATTAATCCCTATTACCCTCGACCACGCCATGCACGAATTTGTGTAACGCGATAAAACGATAAACGCCTATGTCACTCTGTAATAAAGTAGCTTTCCAATAGTATATTTTTTTAATCAATCCAGTTATAAACTTAAGAACCTTTGTTCTTAAGTTTATTCTTTACAATCACACTAATATTATAAAGGCGAAAGTTTGTAAATGTGTGTGTTTGTTACTTTTTCACGTCTAAACGGCTGGAGCGATTTTAATAAAATTAGGTATGGAGTAAGCTGACACTCTGGATTAACACATAGGCTACGTTTTACTGCGGGAAAATATCCCTATTAAACCGCGGGTAATACTCCGGGGCACAGCTAGTATTAATATAAATATATACGTACTTTGCGATCTCGTTTGGTGGGGCCACGGCCCCGGGCCGATATCCAGTGGGTCCGTGGTACTCGCGTGTGAACATGAGATCCAGCATTGGAGTACTGCCGCTCGCCAACTGGTATAGAGTAGATTCCACAATGCGTTTCACGCGGGACATATCACCGGTCTCAAACAACTCGCAGAGGCAGCGGTGTAGCAACTGTGGAATGCAGAAAAGAACTTCATTTTTGATGTGTAACATCATTCCTCTCGCTTTCGTGCAATTTGTGGGAGTGATTACGTGTAGGCCATTCACCGACACCCACTAGACACAGCATATGTGCGGTATAGGTACAAGTGCAACCGCTTGTACCTATTAAACAAGCGTGTGAAACGTACTGACGTAACATAGTTATTATGTTGCAGTGGATAACATGGTGGGTAAGTACTCCCATAAGTGCGTTTGGTTTTGACGTGACAGTCAGGTCTGTCCTACTATTCTTGTTTTTTTAGTCAGTCATGTTTCAGGTTACTGCAAATTTCATGTTTTTTTAATTAACTAGCGGCCCGCCCTCGCTTCGCTTCGGTGTAGAGCTGAAATGTAGACTACAGTTTTTGTTCTCAGGCTTGTATTATACACAATGACATTCATCTATGATTCTTCTTATACCTGCATGCAAAGTCTCAGCCCGATCGGTTTAAAATTGATAAAGTTTCATACAAACTTTCATTCCTTATTTTATCCCCTTGGGATTTTCTTTATATTTTTTTCCGTAAGAACCTTGTACAGAGTATTAGAATACTACAAAAAAAAAACAGCCAAATCGGTCAAGCCGTTTTCATGTTATGTCGTGACAACGGAAAACGGGTTTCATTTTTATATATATAGATTATATATCGGAAGCCAAGGAACATAAACCTCAAAATTACTCGAGAAATTTGACAGTTTTTGGTTCTTGACCTGACAGCCGTTCATACGTATACAGTATCACGTATACCTTTAAGGAGGTGACGCCGATATGGGATATGTTCTTTACGGTTTGGTCGTTATACATTCGAAATTTTTCCATAATATCTGACAATTTTTCACAAAGGACCTACCTTAACAGCCACTGGGCATCCATCTCTTCGAACAGTCTCAATGCCTTTCGCTTCGTAAACGGGCTTCTCTTGTTCAGGGCTCTCGTACATATAGCCGACGTAGCGTTTCTTGGTTTGTAAAATACATGGTTGGTAAACCTAAAAAAAAGATTGATAAATAAGTCGAAAAACAAACGCTTAAATTTTAAAATTTTAGTAATAACATCATCGATTGTTATTTGTCAAGGATTGTACACACCATAGAGGTTAGAGAAAAGGAGAATCGTTCTCCTTGCAGTAAAAAATAGTGTCCCAGAAATATAGACAAAATAAGTGAGATGCTGCGATCGCTAAGTTGTCTCAATAAAAGCGGGCTGTTGCGCGCTAATATGAAATTACCAATGCCACGAAGAAAATTTGTACATTATTCAACTAACTTCATCTACTTGTACTCATAAACAGCTAACTTCACAGATACTACTGACAGACGGCAGCGAGGCTGGTGGCTGAAAAATGAACGATAAATTCTACAAATTTCAAGGACTAATACTGACAGGCGGGCTAATGCTTTAGCACGCAGCGATCTGTCTCCTTCTCTCTGACCTCTATGGTACACATAGACACCGGAGATGGAGCGGTGGCATTCGAGAACCGTTTCAGGCGTGGCGGGTGTTTTGTTTACACACTGCAGTGTGCGGTGGCGTCGCGGAGGCGTTCGGTGTCTCCTGTGTGTTGGGGTCTCGTCGTCGCGTGTTTGGTGGGGAAAGTTTAGAAAAATGTCTAACGAGTCCGAATCCAATATAAATATGAAAACTGAATAAACCGCTAGTTGCACGCCTCCCAGTGCCGTCTTTGACCTATTGGAGGCCCTGGGCATATTAGGATAATGGGGCCCCTAAGACCCCCGTTTGGTGATTTAACAGGAACTAGCGACTTTGTATTTGATCTGAGGGGGCCTCTATCGATCGCGGGGCCCTGGGAACGTGCCCAAAGTGCCCACTGGGAATGAGGGCTCTGACGCCTCACTTTATACACTATAAGAAATACAACGATCACGGCGAACGCTCCGCGTCGGGACCGCACCGCCCCGCCTGCGTCTCGCGTCGCGCACGCCGCCAGTTTGTGTCGCCGGTACGACACGCTCTTCCACCCGTTTGTGTGTCTGTCTTTCATACTAATTCGAACTATACAAAAAAACCGCCGGCGCACCCGCTCCGCGTCCGGTTTCTGTGTGTTTTGGCCTATAACTGGAGTATTGAAGATTATTGAATCTGGTCGTAATTAATACACAAAAAGTCACTTTTTAGTAATTAATAGGAAGTAGGATGTTTACCTTCTCCAGTTTGAGTGCCACAGGTGATGGGTTATCGGCGGTTACTGCATCGGCGATCTCTTGGCCGATGCGAAACGCTTCGGTTCGCGTCGCTCCCGGCACCAAAACAAACATAGAATCCGTATCGCCATACACCACCTGAATCCTCGAGCGGAGAACAATGTAGCTACATTTAGAAAGCAGACCTTCACTGGATAATCTACACCAGTGGTTCTCAAACTTTTTAAATGACGGAACCCTTTTGGGAAGCAAAATACTTGATGGAACCCTACAATAAAACAATTATTTTTATAAGTGTATTCTATATTAATCAGCATAATAAAAGTACAATGTATCCGTTACTAATTATTATTTACTTCACCACTTGGTAAGGACAATAATAGAAAACATTAAAAAAGAAAAAATCTAACTAGTGGGAGGTATGAAACTGTTTTTTATTTTTCATCAATTGCTTGATATCAGGTTTGATGGAAGAAAGTTGGAGTCTCATATCAGCTTCGGCGTCCAGTCTATTGCGATATTTTGTTTTCGTGGCTGCGTAGGTAGAGAATCCTGTTTCGCACAAATATGTAGTTGGGAACGGGAGAAGAATATCCAGAGCCATTTGGCCAAGCATTGCATATTCATCTTGGATTCTGCACCAAAAATCATTAAGAGGCGTCGTTTTGAACAATGACTCCATACTTGTGTCTGATGACATTTCTAAAAGAGATTCATATATCTCATTTGACATGTTTTCAGGCTTTTCCAAGTTGGGTAAAAAAGGATTATGAATCCAGGAGTTCACTTTAATTTTTGTATTGTGTTCTTCGGGAAAATACTTTTCAAAAGATGCGCGCATCGAACTGAGATATTGGACCAATTCTTCAAACACATTATCTTCAAACATTTCTGAGTCGTTTTCGCTAACAAACTCAGTGAGTAACGTAAAACTTTCTATTTCTTTCTTACCAATGCAAATGATCCAAAAATCTAATTTTCTTTTAAAAGTAGTTATTTTATTATAGGCCTGAAACACTGTTGTCTGTTTACCTTGCAATGATAAATTTAATTCGTTAAGTTTTTGAAAGATATCCGCCATAAAAGACAATCGGAACAACCAAGTTTTATCATACAAACGGTCCTTCAAATTAAAAGAAGTATCTGCTGAAAGAAACATTTGTAACTCGGCTCTAAGTTCAAATAGCCTTGTTAAAGTTTTTCCCCGAGACAGCCATCGCACTTCTGTATGGAGCAGCAGTGTTTTATGTTTGCTGCCATAATCTTCACACAATAATGAGAACAATCGGGATTGTAGTGGTCGTGATTTGATAAAATTAATTATTTTTACCGCTTCATCCATAACTAATTTTAGATTAGACGGCATTTGCTTCATCGCAAGTGCTTGTCTATGCAGAATACAATGACTGGAACTACAATTAGGCGCTTTATTTTTCATTCGTGACACTGCTCCTGCTGTTTTACCTGTCATCGCCTTGGCCCCATCTGTACAAATGTCAATGCAATTGTTCCAACTGAGATTATGTTCTTCAAAAAATATATTTATTTTATTAAAAATTTCTTCCCCGGTAGTGTTTGTAAGCAGCGATGAACACATAAGCATGTCTTCTTCAAAAGAACTTTTATATGGATATCTCACAATAACCAGCAGGATAGCCAAACCAGCGACATCAGTCGACTCGTCCATTTGCAAAGCGAATCGTGTATTTTGTAGACGTGTAACTAGTTCTTGTTTGACGTAGCTTGCCAGATCATGGATTCGTCGTGAAACAGTATCGTTTGATAGCGGAACAGTAGAAAGATGCTTTGCAGATTTTTCATCAAGCATACATTTTGTTATGTCTAATACACATGGTTTTATTAATTTCTCAGCGATAGTGTGCGCTTCACCTGCTTGTGCAATGCGATAGCTAACTAAGTATGATGCCTCCGTGGCCTTTTCGTTGGTAGTTTGTGTTACATGCATCATATTTTTTTGACTTTCTAATAACTGATCTTTTTTGCGAACAAAAAATTCTTTATTCTTGTCTTTAGTCTCGGGGTGTACGGTTTCTAAATGTCGACGCAATTTGGCAGGTGCCATGGAACTATTAGGAAGCAGTTTACTACAGAGCATGCAGAGAGGTGAGCCGTTGGAATCAACAAATCCGAAACTGATATAAGATTCATCATACTTCCTTTTTTTCGTCTTTGAAACCGTCGAGCTTGACGTCGTGGCACTCGTGGCATCATCTTCTGGATCGGTGATTGCTAAATTCTCCGCGCGCATTGCTTTTGAACATTCAGCGTCATTAGAAGATGTTGTTGGAACACGTTTAACACCTTTAAGCCAACGTTCCATTCTTCTTTATTTATAATGTTACAAGTCAGGATAGTGGGGTTTAAATAATGCACAATCGTTACTGCGTATAAGAGACTAAATTTAGAACCTACAGGGAAGAAATGTATAAAACTGAGACAACAGAATACAGCAGGCAGTAAAACAATGAACACCAGTTTCTCGCTAGCGAGCTTGTAAGTAGGTAGTAACTTATCGCTCCGAACGCTAATCATCAACTGACGACGCCAACGCGCGATCGCCGCTTTTATACTTAGTCCTAGACTCGATCTCAAATATTCTCGAAAATACTCGAGTCGGCACCTTTGATAAACAAAAAGCAAAAATAAAAACAGAAATTTAAAAATAGCGTTGTAAACAATATCGACTTTATCCTTTGAAGTTAGAGACGAAAGTCGCTAGTTGACAACTATAGCGTCTAATTCAGAGGCGGCTTTTATCAAAGAGACTGAGCGCTTACAAGTATACCTACCCGCTCGTTTTAAGTTTGCCGCTGGCGATAGGTATGAGTGTATGACGTTCGAAATTTTTTATTTAATTGTAACAATAAAAATTGTGTACGTTAGATATTTGGGTAAAACTATGACACATTATAAGTTTTGTTGTCACGTGGGGGAGGGTACGCGCATTCCACAGACCGGCAAACTTAGAGCGAACGCGTTGTACAAGTATAAAATTGTTGAGACCAAACTTATGAGATATTGTACCAGCTAATGTAACACAAGCTTATACAAATACAAATAAATAAATAAATAACATTCATAGCGTTTTGTCTCCGCGCGGCCGCGGAGTCCGCACAGCCGCGGAGCGACCAGAGAGAGGTGTTTTGATTTTTTTATTTCTAAATTCTTGCGGAACCCCGACAGAGGTATCACGGAACCCTAGGGTTCCGCGGAACACACTTAGAGTATAGCTGATCTACACTATATCAACTTAATATAGACTGAATTTCTGGTCGATTCAGTATTAGAAATGGATCTTTTCTCTGTTAAAATGAGGGTAGGTAGGATGGTTTTTCATTACAATACACTTAATGGCGCGATTATGTTTGATAGTTAGCCCGAATACGAGTGCTAATGGAATTCGGGTCAACGACTAAGTGTAAATGAACGGTGTCGAGTATGCCCGTATTCCGGTAGATTTTCCTTTTGTTTACCCTACACCGTCTTCTAATGTAAATATATCTTCGGGTGCCCGAATTCAAGTAATGACTTCCGGGCACCCGAATACGGGTTTAACGTCAAAATGTAATTGCGGTATAAAAGTAGTGGTTTTCTTGCAATAATAGTATTAAACGCCGCATTAATCAATGAAGCATTACAGTACCTAATCACCGAACTGTTATTGAGTGCAACCGTTTTCTACCACTATACAGATCTAGCCAAATGATTCTTATAATTGGAAGATCACAAGTTTAGTACAGTTCAGAAGTTTACAATAAAATTATATTACAGAACTAGTGGCCCGCCCTCGCTTCGCTTCGGTGTAGAGCTGTAGTGTAAACTATAGTTTTTGTTCTCAGGCTTGTGCTATAAACAATGACTTTATTTATATAATTACACGTGTTATTGTGAGTCAACCATAAAAGATAGACATATGCTGTTGCGGAATATTTTTTAGACAATTTTATGTAGAATATTTCCGTCATACATGATTTCTATGTAACTTTACCCATTACTTTACCCATTGCTGCACACGCGACGGAAGCTTAAAAAATGGAGTAACTTCTCCCGTTTTCCCAACATTTCCCTTCACTACTCTGCTGCTATTGATTGTAACGTGATGAAAAGTATACTATAACCTGCCCAGGAGTATGAAGAATAATTGTACCAAGTTTCGTTAAAATCCGTCGAGTAGTTTTTGTTTCTATAAGGAACATACACACAGACAGACAGACAGACAAAAAAATTACTGATTGCATTTTTGGCATCAGTATCGATCACTAATCACCCCCTGATAGTTATTTTAAAAATATATTTCATGTACAGAATTGACATCTTTACAGATTTATTATAAGTATAGATAAGACAGGATTACCTTCACATTCCATTCCTTATTGTCTCGCACGAGTTTGATAGCCCGCTCAAGAGTCTCGCGACCTTTAGCCACGACGCTGTCCCCTACTTCTACACAAGGCATGCGCCCACTGAAGTTAGCCGCTGTGTAGCCGTATGTAACGTTGGCTATTAATTTTAAACCTATAAACAAATTATTCTTTAATAGAGCTGAATATGTGTAAAGCTACATTCATGTCAATATTAGTTTATTTTGCCAGCCCAAAAAAAAATTAAGTAATGGTAGGGAAGAAATCAAGAGGACAAGGAGCGGTCCAAAATGTCATCCTTGCGCAACTCCTCAAGCAAATTATGTCATCTTTTGACTTGGTCGTCTTTATCAAAAGCGAAGATGGTAAATAGTACCTATGCTATGACTGAAACTAATTTAAAAAAAATCTAACTCGTTCTACGACACTGATGTAAGCTAAAATAATAGACTTATTGAAACTCTTTTGTAAAGTGTGTACCTAACTGTCTAGAATGCATAGCTTTCTTGATACTCTCGTCAGTTTGCTGCTTCATACTTTTCTTCACGGCTTGCCTTGCCGCCAAAATTCTCCTCAATAATGTAGGAAGTACTCCTCGGCGAACAGAAGGCTTCACAAATCCTACTCCTACTGGTGACCAATGCACAAGTTCATTCTTTACCAACGCTTCCAGTTTTGATTTTGATATACGAAGACGCCATGCTCCAAATTCATAAGCTGCATCACTGCACAAAATGTTTAATGGAAATTCCTTTTTGTGTAAATAAAGTAAAGATGTGATTTTAGGTAATGTGAAAGTAGGCTTTTAGTTTTTGTTGCTTGTATGCAATATTTAAAAATAATATTTCTTATTTACCCATTAATATTTTGTACGCGACCTATACAGGTAGAAAAGCAATAATTATACGCAATCATCATTGAAGGATAAAGACTTTGGAAATCCAATACTATTACGGGATCCGAGTAGAATCGAGACTCTGAAACAGAGAAAAGATATAATTATAAGACCCGGAAAATAATATTAAAAGTAGTCCTGGTCCGCGTGGAATTTTTTCTAGTTATATTTTCTTTAGATTTAAACATCAAGCAGTTACATACTTTAAAAATAATAAAAATTATAACTATAATTGCTATTTCATCTTTCAAATGTTTAATACTTGTAAAAGTATTCATTTGACATTGTGGGTTTACCTATAATGCGAAGAGATGGCGCTGCCTTGCAGCTTAAGAATAGCTAGAAGGAATTTCGACGCGGTCCGTGAGGGCCGCGGTAGCATAATTGGTCAGTGCATTCGCCCGGATTGCGAAGGGTGCGGGTTCGAGTCCCGTCTGCTGCCTGGTCCGCGTGGAATTTTTTCTAATTATATTTTCTTTAGATATTAAAAGTAATTATTTCTTTATGAAATATTACAAAATATACAGTTTGTCTATAAAGTCGTGACATGAATGTTTGAGGAACTAACATTATTCATGTGTCTGGCAACACCAAACTTATGTACATCAGCTGTCATCGAGTTTCAGTTGTGGAACAGTTTTTCTTTTGTATTTTTTATTGTTTGGATTAAACTGTAATAAATTAAGACGAAACTACACAGAAAGGTATAAAAATGAGTAAAGTAAATCGGAGTGGCACGCGGGAAGTGATTTTTAAAGTTTTCCAGCGATGTTTCGAAGACTACCAAGCTGGACGAATTTTGTGGGATTTGGACGATGTTTATGGGCGAACAGCATCTATGACGGGTATGTAATCGTGTAACTATTTGTTCTGCCTGAAGTTACAAATTTACTCAATTTACGATTTCGAGACCAAAAAAGGCATTGTTTACATTGCACATTTTTAGGTTAGATTGACATTGTAAATAGGTAATATTGTAGTACGACCATTTCTTTTGATACGTTATTATGGTTCAACTCGGTCAGGTTTTCTACCAATTTTGAATTAATTACTTCATGTCAATAAGTTATTGTTTCTATTATACATATATTTTTACTTTTTTTCAGGAAAATCACAGAGTCTGATAGTCAACGAAGGTTTTAAGAATGATGGAAAGTTTGAAAGGAGAACAGGCAAGGCCGACCAAAGAAAGAAATGGTCACATAAAGAACCATGACCAGATGCTTTTAGTGAAGATACCTATCACTAATTTTGCTAACTGCATATTTACAAATTGTTTCTCTAAATAAACTTTTTATATACTATAAAACGATTTTTAGTATTATTTTCTTTACAAATGTGTTAAAAAACATCGTATGATGATACTTGTGTGTATTGATGATTACCTAACGGCTCTGATCTCAATGGCACCTCAGCGGTAATCACCAACATTACACACTTTTACACTATAAAGTACTATTTTATCTATAATAATTTTATTCTGATTCAATTAAATATGCTTGGCTAAACTTTTTTTAAGCAAAAGTACCTACTATTTATAAAACTGAAACAAAATACGACTGTATAGTGTGTCTTATTAATTACCTATTTTACTTGAATGAACTGCTAGTATCAAAATCATTTTGGTCAGACTGTACAGGGTTGCTACATGCATACTAGTGGCGCCATCATTTAATGTCACGACTTTATAGACAAACTGTACAGTGGCTAAATAAAACCCACCCAGTCCTTGTAGCATGAGCACCACAATTTACATTATTTCATGTTATTTATCGCGTGTCAAACTCCATATTAATTGGATAAATAAAAGATCTTTATACCATATCGCGGTGTTCATGCTAGGGCAGGAAGCATGTGAACAAGCTTGTAATGGGATGGTAAAAGAAAAATTTCTCTTATTTGACGTCTTTGACAAATTTCTTCACGCACCCGGTTCAAATATAAGAGGTAAGCACTCTGGTGCACGCATCGCCGCTCGCTGCTTCACTGAAGGCGACAAAGCGATCAGATTCAACGGTCGTGCTGCTCTCAGCATCAGAGACTCCACGCGGAACTGCGACCCTCGTGATAAAACTTCCCACCATTGTAAGCCAAATAACCTTGCCAGTTCTGATGTGCGATCTATACCAAACAGACGTGAAAGATGTTTAGAAGTCAAGGAGTCTAAAGTATTGAAATTATTTTATTAATTTTTAGATGAAAAGCTACTTCGAAGTTAATCGAAGTAAACCTAGAGTATAAAGTAAAAGTTAATTTTAAAAATACATTGTTGTTAAAGTTAAGTATCATAGTATCAAAAAAATCTTACTTATTATATCTAACTTTCTCAGCATTCTTACGGTTCCATATAACTTGGTAAGGTAGTACTCCACAGGTATCCATCTTAAAATTCTCGATTCGTGGTTCCACCATTCAGCTAGTTGTGCATAACTGTATTTGGGAACTCTCTCCTTCAGTATCTCGTACATACAATTTTCAAAGCTATAACTAGAGAGCGCTAATTCGTGCCGAAATAAACGCCATACATTGAACGTTATTCTACCAATAATACGACCTTCAAAATCATTATCATCCTTCTTCCAGCGTTTTTGTCTATATTTCTCCGTTACTCTTGATACCTCTCTTACTATTTCCATTCCTAATACTTGTGCTCTTTCCAAAATGTACCCCCAGGAATTCAACTCCATTTCATACCCACACATTATGTCTGGATCGTGGGATTTTATTAATTCTACAATTTTTTCCAATATTTCAAGTTCAGTCTTGTAATAAAACACTTTGACATTAGTAACACATCTGTCTAAATGTTTTAATGGCGTCTCATCAGCAATGACCAAAGCTTGTGTGATAGTTTTACAGAGAGAACTATCTGGAGGGCAATCTGTGACCATAACAAATATTGCTTGAATGGGATCAATAGTAGGATCAGGGTGTAAATCAGCCCTAACGGCTGTATGCACCTCCGCCAACATTATGGTTAGATAATCCATCTAAATAAAAATTAAAATAGTTACATTTACATTTTACATATCAAACTCTAAAAATAAATCACAATTAGCAAATATTACATTTAAACTTACTTCAATTACAGGTTCATCTTTTAATGATAAATTTTGTTTCTTAATGTCACTATTGAAACATAAAAAGGAGCCATCAGGTTGCATTGTAATATGAAAACTTTCGTCCACATTTGACGCAACTACCTGTAGGAAAACAAAAAAAATACAGAACTAAACAATAACAACACAAGTTATTTGCAAACAGCGAAACTAACCTCATTCGATTTTTCTTCAGGGGTGATGGTGGTATTAATTTCATCATGTAATCCCAGAGCTTGCGAATTATCAAGTTCATCAAAATTATTACTAATTTCATTTTGGGCTAAATTTGATTTACTATCCTGTATTGTTTTATCAATGTTCTCAAGACTCTTTTTGATCTGGTTTGTAGTTGGGGCTTTCATAATAGGTTGCAGAACACAGTGTTTATTTCCAGAAAGTAATTTCTTTAGTGCATCGGGCTTACAACATTGATCAGACATCTCGTTTGTCTGTAAAAACATCAACTGACGCCATTCCTCTATACTTGTGACGCTTAAAACGTTATCAAATGGTTTTTGATCGCGAGCTGTTTTACTTTGTACCTTCAACAACATATGACCTAATTCTACTCTATCTCCCACGTCGTTTGGGTCAGAATAAAATGGACAAAGGCTTTTTATTTTAGGAATATTATATTTATCTAGGCTGGAAATGATGTAATTTCTCGTTGGCGGTTTAAATTTAGGTGTAATTACTATTCTGTCAACCTCCGTGCGCTTGTTGAAACTATGTTCATCAGAGATATTTTTTTGTTTTTTTAAATTAGTCTCTAATGACTTGTTTAGAGAAATATCTAAACATTTTGAAGTGTTATAAAAACTCACTATTCCTGATTCACTGTGTACAGATGATTCAGAAGAGTCATCAGACATATCTTTCAATTTGTCAACACTATTTTCAGCTTTTACAATAAAGTTAGTCGAAGTGCCGGGTTCAGGAAAATATTTATTGTGTTTATCATATATTTCAGCTGCTTTCAGATCATTATTAACTGTAACTTCATTCACTAAATCAAATAAAGATTTTTCACAGCCGTTTTCTAAATTATTATTAATCATACTTTTTTCCAATATACTTTGTGGTTCTGTCTTTATATTTTTTTTTAAGTGGAAGCTGGAAATACTATCGATTGTATCTCTCGATGCATTTATTTCGTTGTTTATGTCCAAATTTGAATCAGCAATATCAGTAGTATATGTATCATTAGATCTAATATTTTTCTTTTCTTTGGGTTTTGATAAGCCCAATCTCAGTGGCCTTGGTTTCCTTTTCCTCACTTTTTTCACATCTAAAAATAATAAACGGTAAGTTTTTTACATATAATAACATACATAATAACTTGAAACTTACATATTATAATAAATATCTATAGTAAAAGTACTTACGCTCATCATCAAAAGTACCATCTAACTGTGGTATATGTGCACCATCCCAGAATGAATCATTCCATGTAGGCGAACTTATTTCGGCATTATCTTTACTGAAACGATTCTTAAATTAAATTTATATCAATATTCGTCAATCAAATGAACATACTTATGTCCGGCGTTTTATCATCAGCCTATTTTCATTAGCAGGTGTTCATATACATAAAATTAATATGTATTGTATAATATAATTTATATACTTACTTCACAGATGAATGCTTCATTATAGTATGGCTAATATTATCGGAAATTACAATGTTACATACCCCTCATAAATGTTTGTTACAATAGTTTCTTCATTGAAGATTTGGGAATATTCAGTATCATCAATTTCATTATCTTCGTCTTCATTTGGAGGAGTACCCATTACACTATCTTTATCAACTGGTTTTTCATCCATGTCAGCTAACATATCTAATAGATCTATGTCTTCACTGCTTACTGCAAAAGTGAGACAATGGTGAAAAAATATATTAATTTACAACGAAAGGATATGTGAAGTACTAAACTAACATAATACTTGACTGTGATGTATTGAAAGACACGTTATGTACTAACATAAGACTTGACTGTGATGTATTGAAAGACTACTATTTAGAGCAACACTCTCATCAACTATTGTATGCTCTAATTGTTCATTAGATGGCTCATCTAGATTGATCCTGGATATTTCTGTTAAACTATTATTAAAGCTATTTCCAGGCAGATGAATACTGACATCTACTGCATCAAGAAGTTGTGTTCCTTCAATGCTTTCAGCAGGGTAATATATTTGTTCTTGAGGGAATTTGATTTCCACAGGTTTATCTACTGTACCAGACAATTGTATCAGACATAGCTGATGAAATTTATAATGTGATTCTGTTTCTTCTGACTTGATTCTTCTCTGAGTTAATGATTTAGAGGCAAGAGATATGTTGAGTTGCTTTCGCCTTTCTATTTCTTGCTTCCACACCTCTTCAAGTCCTGGATTTTCTATAATATCACCTTTGCCAATTCTCTGCCTATTAATTATATGTGAAGCAATACAATCAACTTCATAAAAGCAAATGCTCTCTGCTTTAAGCCTGTTTTCATCAGTGAGGGCTGGTTCATCAGAATTTTGCATATTACCTGTTTTTCGAAAACTCACTTTTTGAAGATCTATGTTGCTCATACCAAAAAGATTAAAATCAATAAAAAACTGCAAAGTGAAATTAAGGTGAGATTCATGTGGCTGGAATGTTTGTCCCAAGATAGCACCATTACTACATAGTTCTACAGCTTGTTTTATCAAGTTTGGACTATAAAGAAATACTTTCAAATACAGATGTTCCTTGTTATGGAATCCATAAAAGGGCCTGAAACAACATAATATTCCTTAAAACATCTTAAACAAAAAGTGTTAATATATACAGCATGATAAAAAAAGTCAACATACAGTCCTTTAACCAATGTGATTTTGTAAACATGTTGGTTATTTGATGTTGCTTGTTTCAGGGCTATATTTAATGCCTTATCCAAACTTGCCGCTATCTGTAATAAATACGAAAACTTAATATTATTAACATATACTTTTATAGCAGGTGCCCATTACTTTGCTTGCTATATAGCAGGTTACCTGGAAACTCACTCATTTACACTTTCAGTGGAACAAATAAAAATCGGCCTTTGTACCCCAGGAGGCTTGGAGATATGGTGGCACTGTCAGATATTATCATCTTATAGGTCACAATTAAAAGTTAATATTAAAGAATCTTTTTGTTTCATAGGTTTTACACGCACATCACTCATTAAATAAAACTAGTTTTTACAGGTTAGATGTACTGAGTTTATTTATTCTAATCTAAATTCAGAATAATTCTTCAGACGATGCAGACCTGAAAAGGCTGTAAAACGTCAATAAATAAATAAATTCAGTATATCTAACCCGTACAAACTAGTTTAATTAAAGAATCTGTCATATTATCTACTCTATATAAAAAATTACCTGATATAAAAGTTGGGGCTCTGGATTTTGTGTTGGACATGGAATATAAAAATATGGAAATACTCCATGCACATGAAGGCATGTTTTATAACCATCTGCAGATGGGCCAAAAATTCTTAGAACTGGAACCTTAAAAACAAAATTTTACAGTAAAGAATGCTTTACTAATTTACACTCTAAAATATTATTTTTTAAGTTATTATAACAATTTTTGTCAAAATAGTGATCACAATAACATTTGTATAATTAACAAAGAAGGCCATTATTGTAATTTAAATTTTTTTTGGTACCTAATTTAAATATTAATTATTTCTTCAGGCAGTACATCTTGAATAGGTGTTTTAAGGTAATAATTGTTCACCATCACTAAAGGCACTCAATATATACTGTAAATTTTGAGTTAACTACCTAAGAAAATTTACTAGTGCATTCAGAAAAAGATAGTAAGAAGTATATTTATTTTAAATAGGAAGGCATACTTTTTTCTACCATTTGTTTTTTGAAAAGTTTGTCTGTGTTAACTCAACAATTGCGCAATAATGAAACCGTAACAAGTTTTGTTGTCATACGTAGACTCAAAACTACTTTAAGGACGTGCATACATATAACAGTCCACAGACCACTGGAAGCACCTGAAGTGGTCCATGAAGACATTCCAAAAAAATATTAGCAAAAGGTACAAAAACTGATTTACGGATTCCAAAGGGCGGGGGCATAAAATTTGAAAAAATGGTCCCTCATCATAAAAAGGTAAGAACCACTGCCATATTTAATTTGTATTTCTCTCCGTTTATAGGATATTTTGTAAACATTTCTCACTTTTACTGTTTTTATTTAAAATTCAGTGTATACAGTCAAACAAATAAAGCTAACTATATATTTTTTCCTCAGTCCATTAGTGGTAATATGAAACACAAGCTTTGAGCGTACTGTCAATATAGTTTATTAATGTTTACCATACCTGCTTAATATCTGCCCCTCTAAAATCTGAATATGTGACATCAAAGCCGGGTACCGGTTTTGTTAAATAATGATCACAAACCACAACTCTTACAGAAAATTCAGAAATGATAAAAGACATAGCAGATTTTAAAATATTGTTAACTTTTAGGATCCTTTCATTATTTTACATGAAGTATACAGTGTAATGAGTTACTTAGAACTTAAATACACATCAAGATTTTTTTATTTTTGCAATTTAAAAAACATTGGAATAAAGTTCATAACTTTTCAATGTTTTCAACAAGTTTGTGTCTGTCCTGTCATGTCTGGATGTCCCTTTTTTTTAAATTTATTCTGGCTTTGGGGGTTATGTCCTTTTGGTCAGTGTTACCAGAAAGCCATTTTGCCTTCCCCCCAAAATACAGGTTTTTTTTAAAAAAACCCCCAACATTTAAAATATTTATTAAAAAAAGGGAGTGTGCTTATGACCACACGAGTGAAGTGAAACTTCTTTAGCTTCAATAATCTGAAAATCATAAACTTAACCTGAAAATTTGTTGATAGAAAATAAACACAATCCGTGCTGGGTCCACTATCACCCACCAATCCATACTGAGTCTGCTATCACCCACCAAGCAGGCAAGCGGGCGGTGGCAGCCTAGGCTGGAGTGGCGGAACCCCTGGTAGCGGTAGCACTGCGCAGGCATCTTCCTCCCTCTCCAGGCTTCAATATGAATCCCGGAGATGCTCAGGAGATCTCTCACTGAGTAGATGCGGGGAGGCCGGGATGGTGTATGGGGTTCTTCGTAGCGCAGCGAAATACAAGCAATCGGGGCGGCCTGCTCGCGCCCGGATCTGCTTGATGTATTCCACAGTAAAACCCTTTTCAGCAAGGGCCTCGGCGATGTCGTCTGGGTGGGTGTCTATAGGTCAGTGGTTCTCAAACTTTTTAAATGACGGAACCCTTTTGGGAAGCAAAATACTTGATGGAACCCTACAATAAAACAATTATTTTTATAAGTGTATTCTATATTAATCAGCATAATAAAAGTACAATGTATCCGTTACTAATTATTATTTACTTCACCACTTGGTAAGGACAATAATAGAAAACATTAAAAAAGAAAAAATCTAACTAGTGGGAGGTATGAAACTGTTTTTTATTTTTCATCAATTGCTTGATATCAGGTTTGATGGAAGAAAGTTGGAGTCTCATATCAGCTTCGGCGTCCAGTCTATTGCGATATTTTGTTTTCGTGGCTGCGTAGGTAGAGAATCCTGTTTCGCACAAATATGTAGTTGGGAACGGGAGAAGAATATCCAGAGCCATTTGGCCAAGCATTGCATATTCATCTTGGATTCTGCACCAAAAATCATTAAGAGGCGTCGTTTTGAACAATGACTCCATACTTGTGTCTGATGACATTTCTAAAAGAGATTCATATATCTCATTTGACATGTTTTCAGGCTTTTCCAAGTTGGGTAAAAAAGGATTATGAATCCAGGAGTTCACTTTAATTTTTGTATTGTGTTCTTCGGGAAAATACTTTTCAAAAGATGCGCGCATCGAACTGAGATATTGGACCAATTCTTCAAACACATTATCTTCAAACATTTCTGAGTCGTTTTCGCTAACAAACTCAGTGAGTAACGTAAAACTTTCTATTTCTTTCTTACCAATGCAAATGATCCAAAAATCTAATTTTCTTTTAAAAGTAGTTATTTTATTATAGGCCTGAAACACTGTTGTCTGTTTACCTTGCAATGATAAATTTAATTCGTTAAGTTTTTGAAAGATATCCGCCATAAAAGACAATCGGAACAACCAAGTTTTATCATACAAACGGTCCTTCAAATTAAAAGAAGTATCTGCTGAAAGAAACATTTGTAACTCGGCTCTAAGTTCAAATAGCCTTGTTAAAGTTTTTCCCCGAGACAGCCATCGCACTTCTGTATGGAGCAGCAGTGTTTTATGTTTGCTGCCATAATCTTCACACAATAATGAGAACAATCGGGATTGTAGTGGTCGTGATTTGATAAAATTAATTATTTTTACCGCTTCATCCATAACTAATTTTAGATTAGACGGCATTTGCTTCATCGCAAGTGCTTGTCTATGCAGAATACAATGACTGGAACTACAATTAGGCGCTTTATTTTTCATTCGTGACACTGCTCCTGCTGTTTTACCTGTCATCGCCTTGGCCCCATCTGTACAAATGTCAATGCAATTGTTCCAACTGAGATTATGTTCTTCAAAAAATATATTTATTTTATTAAAAATTTCTTCCCCGGTAGTGTTTGTAAGCAGCGATGAACACATAAGCATGTCTTCTTCAAAAGAACTTTTATATGGATATCTCACAATAACCAGCAGGATAGCCAAACCAGCGACATCAGTCGACTCGTCCATTTGCAAAGCGAATCGTGTATTTTGTAGACGTGTAACTAGTTCTTGTTTGACGTAGCTTGCCAGATCATGGATTCGTCGTGAAACAGTATCGTTTGATAGCGGAACAGTAGAAAGATGCTTTGCAGATTTTTCATCAAGCATACATTTTGTTATGTCTAATACACATGGTTTTATTAATTTCTCAGCGATAGTGTGCGCTTCACCTGCTTGTGCAATGCGATAGCTAACTAAGTATGATGCCTCCGTGGCCTTTTCGTTGGTAGTTTGTGTTACATGCATCATATTTTTTTGACTTTCTAATAACTGATCTTTTTTGCGAACAAAAAATTCTTTATTCTTGTCTTTAGTCTCGGGGTGTACGGTTTCTAAATGTCGACGCAATTTGGCAGGTGCCATGGAACTATTAGGAAGCAGTTTACTACAGAGCATGCAGAGAGGTGAGCCGTTGGAATCAACAAATCCGAAACTGATATAAGATTCATCATACTTCCTTTTTTTCGTCTTTGAAACCGTCGAGCTTGACGTCGTGGCACTCGTGGCATCATCTTCTGGATCGGTGATTGCTAAATTCTCCGCGCGCATTGCTTTTGAACATTCAGCGTCATTAGAAGATGTTGTTGGAACACGTTTAACACCTTTAAGCCAACGTTCCATTCTTCTTTATTTATAATGTTACAAGTCAGGATAGTGGGGTTTAAATAATGCACAATCGTTACTGCGTATAAGAGACTAAATTTAGAACCTACAGGGAAGAAATGTATAAAACTGAGACAACAGAATACAGCAGGCAGTAAAACAATGAACACCAGTTTCTCGCTAGCGAGCTTGTAAGTAGGTAGTAACTTATCGCTCCGAACGCTAATCATCAACTGACGACGCCAACGCGCGATCGCCGCTTTTATACTTAGTCCTAGACTCGATCTCAAATATTCTCGAAAATACTCGAGTCGGCACCTTTGATAAACAAAAAGCAAAAATAAAAACAGAAATTTAAAAATAGCGTTGTAAACAATATCGACTTTATCCTTTGAAGTTAGAGACGAAAGTCGCTAGTTGACAACTATAGCGTCTAATTCAGAGGCGGCTTTTATCAAAGAGACTGAGCGCTTACAAGTATACCTACCCGCTCGTTTTAAGTTTGCCGCTGGCGATAGGTATGAGTGTATGACGTTCGAAATTTTTTATTTAATTGTAACAATAAAAATTGTGTACGTTAGATATTTGGGTAAAACTATGACACATTATAAGTTTTGTTGTCACGTGGGGGAGGGTACGCGCATTCCACAGACCGGCAAACTTAGAGCGAACGCGTTGTACAAGTATAAAATTGTTGAGACCAAACTTATGAGATATTGTACCAGCTAATGTAACACAAGCTTATACAAATACAAATAAATAAATAAATAACATTCATAGCGTTTTGTCTCCGCGCGGCCGCGGAGTCCGCACAGCCGCGGAGCGACCAGAGAGAGGTGTTTTGATTTTTTTATTTCTAAATTCTTGCGGAACCCCGACAGAGGTATCACGGAACCCTAGGGTTCCGCGGAACACACTTAGAGTATAGCTGCTATAGGTAGTCCACGGATAGCCACCGAGTCGGCCCTCGTCATCGTCTTGAGGCGTGAATCGTACGCCCGTACCAAACGGGCGCACGCTGGGTGGTCGGCCGAGTTTCTTGTGTATAGCGCGCAGGTGCTTCGGTCAGTCCTGCAGCTGCTCTACCACAATCGGCGGGTGTTTGCTGATCCGTTGGGGTGTAGGAGCGCTGCTGGAGGCCGGTGGTGGGTGATGCGGCGGTTGGTATGTTTTTCTTGACTGGAGTGGGGGTATGTGCGGAATGTCTTGCTGCTTTTGCATAGACTGTGTCGATAAAGTAGTCAGTTGTTGTTTCTGGGCGGCGGGGGTGGTTTCTTGATGGGGTGGTTTGGCAGTTGATACTTGGGCTGGTGCGGGCGATAGTAGGGGTGTGGGTGAGTCATCGCAGCTGCGTGACCGGCGAACTCGCAGGGCGCGTGTGTGGTTCGCGCGGGGGCGTCTCTCTCTCGTGTTCGGTGACGGCGTCTTTAAGATAGGCTTCAAATAGATTTCGCGTGGCGGCAGGAACATGAGTAGCATCGAATTGGTGGTCTTGAGCGCCTCGAAGATCACTCGGTCTTCAGGGCGGCATTCAGACGTCTTGGTTGGGTCAAATTCTAGTATGCGGATAAAGGCCCACAGCCAATCCATCATACTTCCTGATATCAGCCCGGAGTCGATGAGTCGGTGCGCCATCGCCGCGTCCAATTCATATTGGGCGCGTGGCGATTTTGCACCGATCATTAGGCCGCTAAATTTGGGCATAGTATGGGCCAGTTCGACGCTCAGACGTTCGGGTATTTCGAAGTCGGTTGATCTTCATCCATGTTGTTGGGAGATCGGGGCTACGCCTGCGCGATCCTGGCCGAGCTGCGCCTTGCGGCGCGCTCAAGGCCTGCAGCTCGGTGCGGGGCAGTCTTCGCTGACACAGATTGGCGCCAGGCAGTCTCGCGGAAGCAAAAACAACAGTTTATGTTCGGAGAGCTTGCGGTGCGTATGGATGGACGTGTCCGTGTTTGGAGAAGACCTGGAGACTCTGGAAGACAAAGAACGGCCTCTGGAACCGTTCAGCAAGGCGAGAAATCAGTGTCCTTTGTAACGTACCTTAATATGGTTTCGACTCATGGTTTCGATTATCATAGGTTCCATTTCGCACATTTTATCATATAACATCATCGATATTCATCAGGCATCATCATATATTTTATCATTTATTCCTGGAAACACATAATTTCAAAAATATCACACACTATTCATCACTTTGTAAATACGTATAATAATTTCTTCTGTACTGAAAATCACTATTCCAGAGTGCTGGACACTTACCGGCATTTCTCTTTATTCTGTTATTTACTTGTTTTCACTTATTATGCTTTGATTTTATCTATATTTAATTTATTTATTTTATTGACATTTTATGACAACCTAATGTTTTTTATCCGTTGCCATGGCTACCCAT